ATTAGGTTGGAGGCTATCCCGGATATACCCATTAGGTTGGAGGCCATTGCTACTAGGTTGGAGGCCAATGCTAATATAATATGTACAAACACAAAAATATCTCTCCTGACATCTCCAGGCGGCTGGTCCTCGGTTGACTCTTGGGCTTCGCTTTGGGCTTCGGCTTCGTCTCCTTAGTCTCCTTCGGCTTCTCGGCTTCGCCTGTGGCGGGATGTCAAGTGAGCTGCACCTGAAGGAAACACCACATGACGCCGGTTGAACCGGCATTGAACCTCCCAAAAAAAATGGAAGCACGGGTCATAGCGCGGAAAGCCAGTTTTTGTTTACCATGTTTACCTCCCAAGAATGAACAAAGACAAAGGAATCAATCCGGAAAGAAAAACTGATGCAAATGGAGATTGGGGCGGGACTTGAATCATGAAACACTGCTTGTTTGGGTGGTAAAAGATTGGCAGCACCCCCGGCTGTTTGCTTTTGATGAAAACCCAACTGGCCAGGTGTCAACTCACCCTGGCTCTTTTGTGCCAATTGTTCCTAACAGCACCTCATTCATCCTCATTGATAACAATGCCTCCCCCTTCATGTACTACCTGAGACCAAAAACACGGCAGGGCACAGAAATGCGCACGCCATCCCTCCCATCCAGTCTGGCGCCCCATCCCTCGCCTCCAGGTGCAGTGGCCTCCGCCTCTGGGGCCTCCGCCTCCAGGGGCGGCACAGCACTGGCCTCGATCGGCGCAGAGTGCGGTGCTGTCCGGATTCGTCTGTTGGATACAGGATGATGCAGAACATGGCGCGAGCATGGTCGTTCTGCAATTCGTGTTCCCCCCCTTAGCTTTGTTCAACACGGAGTCGAATCGGATTTCCTTTCGAAAAGGGTTTCCTTTCACAAGGCTATCTATCCCATTTCTCCCCCCGAACTCCCCAAACTCCGCGCCCACTCTGCGCGCGCGGAGCGCGCCCAAGCAACCACGCCTTCCAGGGCTTCTTCCGCTTGGGCTCCGCCAGTGCTTTCAGCCGCTCCATCGAGACCACCCGCTTCGGTCTCGTTGGTGCGCTCGGGCTCCGGCTCGTCGCAGCGGTGCCGGTCTTGGCTCCTGCGGCGACCGGTCTGCCGGTTGGCAAGGTGGGAGACGAGAACATGAAGAGCATGGACATGGGTTGAACCATGATGGACGAGTTTGGTTCGCCCTAAAACGGTCCTTGCCAACTTTCACTCGTCTTGCAATTGACCCCTAACATTACTCCAATCCTTGGTTGCTTTTGGGCTGCTTTCTTTTCTCCCTTGTCCTTGTCAGCTTGTCAGTGTGTTGTTTGTCTCTGTGCCTTTCCATTTCTTTTCTCTTTTGTTCTTTTGTTCTGGGGGTACGCCATGTTCTTGTGCATGCCACCCCAACTAAACCAAGCCTAGCCTAGCATCTCCCAGCTTGCCTTTTCTTTTTCCTATCCATCGTCTCCTGGCCTTGTCTCCTGGTTCTACTCTAGTCTTCAGACTGCAGAAAAACCTCTCCTGTGAAATACACCGCGCCCAAGGAGACTCTCTCCAAGCCATTGCCGCCACCCAACATGCGGGTCACCTGGGCGGGTCGAAGGGACGTCTCGTCCGTCTCGTCCTTTCCGTCGCGAAGGGGCGGGAGTCGGTTGCGAGGTCGTCCTCGCGACGTGGCGTCCTCGAGGTGGAAGACGTCCGGGGATTGATGGAATGGGCGCCCGACTGGGGGAACTCGATCCGCCGAATGGCCTGAAAGACTTCGATTTCAACGAGTGCGACAAATCTTCGGTCCATCCGAGCTGCGATGGTGCTGGGTCGTTTCGACTTCAGCACCTCAGGCAAAATGCTCGAAAACGAGCATGCGATGTTTCGTGCTTCGTTGCCTTCGTCGTCAGGGTGTACCACCACGGGTTGTCGGTCGACTTCGTCCCGGACGGGAGAGGTCAGGCATCGATCCGGCAGAGAAGGCTGAACAGAAACCGGTGTCATCAAGATCTGATTTGGATCTGAGGGTTTATGATGATATGATGACCAACAGATCATAACAGATCTACAAAATGGGATCTGGGAGAAAAGCCCCAACAACGGATGAGTTATGATCAAACACCCAGTTATCAGGGATGAGGGATGGGGGTACCCCCATTGGATGAAAACCGTGATCTGATTTGATGGGATATAGATCTACTTTTAGGTGCCCGAGCTCGAGGGCTGCACATCAGAGGAAGAAGGTCTGCAAAATGGTGAGGCAAGTACGTGGGATACGGTGACTGACAACCTATTAAAGCTATACAAGGAAAGGGAGACTGGTAAGGTAGATCTCTTGACTAATAAACCCTTCGAAAGTTTCAGAGGTTCTTCAATTCAACTGGGGGCGCTCTTATGAAGTCCAAGAAGTCTACTAGACTGAGGTAGACTTGCTACTGACTTTACAACACAACACACCAAGCACTAGTGGAACAAGTCTCCCATCGACCTGCGTGAGGCGACGTCGTCGATAGGTGCGCTCCCTGGATGCAGACCGGGGCAAGAAAAAAGGCACCCATGTATGTCCCTCCCAACATCCGTAGGTGACAAACATCCGTAGGTGGCATGAAACACGGACCAAAAAGGTTGAAACGAACACATAGATCCAAGTCAACCCTTAAACCTACAAGTCTTTGTGGGTCTTTGACTAAAACAGCTACGCTCTGGACGAACACATGAACAGCTACAAACCCCCTTCGCTCCAGCACGCCACGTGAAGTCTTCCTGCGAAGCAAGTCCCAACCAGAAACAGTCCTGGTTGTTCCAATATGGCGCCAGCTTGAGATCCTCTACATAGGACATGGCTGGGTGTTTGGGTTTCGTTCCATCCAGACATCTTTCTGGGTGGGACTGGAGAAATCCAGGCCGAATCCAGCCCAAGGCACGGACAGCTCTTGGGCCTCGCCAGCCGCTCCTCCGCGGAGAGGGCGCCCGCGCCGTCGCGCCAGGCGCGGGGCGTGCGGGGTGTGGCGTCGGAGGCCAAGGGGCCGACCATCTGCGGCGAGGCACCCGGTGAAGCGGGACGAGGTGAGGAGTTCGTTGGTTTGTGCCGGGTTTGGCGGGGGTGATGTTGGGTCATGGACATTCACCCCCACCTTTCTGGCGAGAGTCGGTGGAACGTGTCAAGTGTTGAGAGTCGTGGAGTGTCTCCGACTTCTCGTTTCTTGCTCCGACACCTCGAAACCGCGGGGAGTCACCGACTTCTATGCCGACTTCAGCGGCTCGAAGACGCTCGAAAGCCGCGGTGGCGTCTTCAGGTTCGACGGTTCCGTGGTTCCGTGGTTCATGGAGAACACCCCGGGAAACCACGCACACACACACTTGGAACTGGGCTGCTGCCCGACACCAGTCTGATGACGAAAGCATAAAGAAATTCCAACGCAACACAAATGCCACTAATTCTCCACAACAATAAGGCTAATCGAGGGTCCTCAACCAACAATGAGGTCATCAGGCTCTGTTTTTGTTGGCGAAGTAAATGAAAGCACCCAAATTTAGAACCCACGCATAAGTGACAAGAGCATATACAATGTACAATATTATAACATGTTGAAGTTTTTATACACGATGTTCATGGATTTGCAATTAAAGAACATTTGAAAACCTCTCACACAGGCAAAAAGGGGGCCTACCTGTAAATCTATATCCACGATGGATTCAATTACCTGTGATTGTTTCAATCTGGTCATTCATGTTCGTGACCATACCTGCAGTACCACTCTGCTCTTCACAGCCTGTCACTCTGGCGTTCATCAGTCACCGCAGTCCCACGGCCTTGGCTAAGAGCTTTGGAAGGACCTTCCGTTGAGTCCTGACATCCTCAGGGGGAAGGGCAACTCGGTGGCGGGGCAACCGCAGGCAGAGAAGGTACAAAAAACCTTCGCAAAACACAAGGGCGAACTAGTCTGCTCAAACCGGGCGAGGAAGGAACATGAGCAAAGAACTTCGCCGACCTGGACATGTCTTCCAAAAAGGAACCGGGTGCCCACTTCCCCCTGCTTTCTCGACGAGGCCATGTATTCTAACATGTCTTTACATCCCTGGACTGCTGGAAGATGCAGTCTGGAACCGCGGAAAGACGGCCGCACATGGCGATTTTTTGCGAAGGTGTCCAACAGCTTAAAAGGTCTAGTCACTCCATGTGTCATATTGAGCTACAGTAAATCTGGTCTTCTATGCTCATTCTGTTTGTTGATGCTGTATAGAAGTTGTTCGATCTTCTATAAATATCCAACCTGATCCCCAGCTTGAGTGCCGTCCTCAGCGTAGGGCTTCGGACAGCTATGCCAGGTCTGCTGGAGGGGCGGCAGCCGCTTAGAGGGGCGCAGCTGGCTGCTGCTGTGGGCTGCTACCAGCTGCGTCCTTTGTTGATCAATCGCAGTGGAGGACGTATAAAACCATCCGGCAGGTCAAAAATCTCCACAACTATATAACGGTTTCTCTCATGGCACAGTGCCTGAGAATCCAAACGCGCAAGAAATGCTGCGCGGTTATGTAAAACATCACCGTCTACATCATCAACTCATTGGACCGTGTTCACTCGCCGAGCCCGCCGAGTTCAGCCCTTCAGCCCGGTTTCGCCAAACAGGATGCCCTTCTAAAGCTCTACTTAGCGTTTGCTAAGCCGATGGAAAACCTGGATAAGGCACGCGCCTGGGGTGGAATTGAGTGACATGGCCGAGCAAAGGTCAGTATTGTCTCAACTAAGGCATATTATTCCACGAGGGACCCCTGCTACTGTTAAAAGGCGCCATTCTTTTTACTAGGTTGGAGGCCATCGCTATAAGGATCATTAGGTTGGAGGCCATCGCTATTAGTCTGGAGGCCATTGCTATGAAAGGCACCATTCCTACTGGAAAAAGACCCCTGCTTCTGTTAAAAAGCAACCTTTCTTTGTTGCCATCAATGATGACTGGCTCAATGGGAGAGGTCAGAAGTCTATGAAGTCCATAGAGTCTATATGAGTTTATGGTTCTAGCACCTAATAGCCATGGCCTCCAACCTACTAACCAGCGATGGCCTCCAACCCATGGTCAATGTAAGAAATCGTCAAATTCCTATGAAGTGGTGGATGATGCTTCCCCAGTATCAGTTGAGCTTGATATTGACAGTAGCTCACATCGGGGGTGGGATCAGGTCGGTCGTAAGAACCGGGTATTCAATTCGTTCTCTTGAGCATAGGGACCTCGCGGTGCGAAACACCGCTGACCGCGGGTTTGGAAGGACTGTCCCTATTGGACTGCCCACTTTGGGACTCTAGGACGGTCTGAGATGTTGAATGGACCACTTACCAGCAGTCACGTTCGACGGGGTGCGATCCATGGAGGTAGGAGTTGGGTGCCCCTGTCGCATCTAAACACCACCCCGTCTTGTGACTCCTGGTAGTGGTGATGTCCGGTGGGAAACGAAACACGCTCCAACCATCTCCAACACAAAACAGGCGAAATAAAAAAGGCTGCAGGCCGTGACCTAGTAAGATACATGCCTCCGATTTTCGACCTATTTGATGGGCCGCCATGGAGCCATGCAAGGCGGCCGACGCTCCCGCTTGCCATGTCCCAAATCAATCCAAATCAGCCATTTGGCAACATCCCTGCCTACACTTTTGGAGCAACATGGGCGTTACCAAATTGAGAGACCCTTGTTTTGCAGTGCTCTGAGAAGCCCGCCGTCCAATGCCCGGCTAAACCGGGCATCGCGAATCGCTGCAATTCTGTCAGATCTGGTTGGTGTTTTCAGCTCAAAAAAAAAAACATCAGTCAGTGGGCTCAATCATCCCAAGTCAGGGTTGAAACCACCCGGAGATCCTCCGAACTGGCCGCACAAATGGCCCGCCCTCAATGGCCCGCGCCACTTACATGGCCTTCCCAAAACCACGGGTATCGAAGTGTCTGACTGCCACGGTCCATTGACAACTCTCCCATGGCAACCGGTCCCTAAACCCCCCGGTCTGCGCGGTCTAGGGATCTATGGTCGTGGAGGGCGTGGAGGGCGGGTCGATGTCGAAGAG